CGTCCTCAGAATGCATCGGTCCAACTTTAAAATAGAAAAAGTGTAATTGAAGTCTTCGTAAATTGTGGGACGCTTTGTTTCAAAAAAAAAAAAAAGATATCAATTGCTATGTATTTATCTTCATTTCGACAAACACTACTGTTATATCAATATTTAGCAAACTAAAACCAATATCGAAAGCGAGAGGCGTGACAGTTAGGGCATCACACAAGATTTCTGGATAATACTGATATATAAAGAATCCGTTTAGGTTTTTGGGGTAAATTAATCTGGGCTTGCGAGTATTTTCCGTTTGCCGATGAATTTGCTTTGTTTTACGTTGCAAAGATGAGCAGTTTGGTTCGTCGAAAAGTTTTTTTCCTTTCTTGCATCAAAGTGTGATAAGGCTGTCTTTTAATTGAAATTGGGAAAGATCTAGGTGCGCCATAAGCAGTGAGTCACAAGATCTACTCTGCGGTGCTGTTCGTAAATGATACTGCAGAAATAGCTCGAGACCAAAAGCGCACAATTGTCTGATATGAACTTAACTCCCGGATACGAGCTGCATCTATCATTTTTCGTGAACAAGTTACAAAAGTCTAATAAAGGTATATTCATGGTTTTTTATTTCAACGAGAAAAACCTTTACGATATTTTGACTTCATAAATATCAAGAGAACACTGCACACCAGCCCATACTAACATAGTATGTGTTCTATAGCAATATACCTTGTAATGTCCAGAAGCCGCATCTATTGATTTTTAAATTTTAATAAAAGAGAACATGGTTTTTAACCTAAATGAGAAAAAAATGAAGGTTCGCCATTCGACATGATTGTAAAATATTTGAAAAGTCTATCTTATGGCAAAAGAGGTTTGGAAGAGTCGTCTGAAATCTTAACACACATTAATACAGCTTTTCTGAGTAGAGATGCAAAGATGCTACCAAACCCACTTTTAATTGGGTTACAAAATTGGGTGAACATGAATAACGAAGAATGAAGAATGGTAAGCAAGTCCAAATAGAATCTTCCCAAGTGTTACTAGGGGCTTAGACGCAAAGGTCTTAGAAAATCATGACTACGCGCTTAGAACCTTAGGGAATGCAAAATTCTTGGGCAAAATAGATGAATCTCAAAGCAATCTTAGCAACTTGATATTTTTCACGGATGGAAAACGTTCGGAAACGAGGGCGTGTGTCCACAAAGCCGTATAGAAAACGATTGAAATTCAGGAATTTTCCGTCAGGCGACTTGGGGAATAAAAGGCAGAACTACAACTTCGATATAGTGCCGTTGACATGTCAGAGGAAATAGCCACTCTTAGTAAAGAGGTAGACGGCTGCAATTCTGATAGTAAGCTACATATGATAGTTGAAAGATCCGGACTTAGGCAGGTATACAGGTATACACAAACTGACAATGCCATTCTTCAGGGTTCTTCTCTGCATGTTTTACTTGCGAGAAAAATCGACTCACGGAACAACACACTCTGAACACGAACTATGTAGGAATCTAGAGAGAACGACTTGTTAATTAAAAGAGCTCTTATTCTATAGGTACCCTAGAATGAGGTTCAAGCCCGAGCAAAAACGCACTTTGTTTCATGCTGAGAGCCAGCAGTTTGGCGGCGATACCCGTTGTAAAATTCGAAACACAGACAGGCATCCTAGCATGAGATACCCGACGTCCGAAGAAACGCTGAAACTGCAAGTGATAACTCGGACTCTCTATCTGAGGGCATTGACATTATAGGTTGAAATTTCTAGTTAACGAATATGAAGCAAATACACATTATTTTCCAGGCAAGGGTACAACGGGGCACTACTCTGTAGTTTTCGGGCTCATGCAATAAACAGAGTTCTTGCAGCAGGGTTCACTGCTATGAAAAATGGTTGCTGTTTTTTCGAATCATAAATCAAGAAAGCGCTGAAGAGAAAGAACGAAAATCGGCAAGGCAGAGGAATGTAAATTCAAAAGGCTCAAAATTCACAAGGGTTAAAGTCTTACATGTAAACTCTCATCGTAGTGAGGTATTAAACACATTACTTAATGTGATTGGATGCAGCAGAGGATACGGTCTTTCATTTAGAGGTGAACCAATGGAAACCCTATGTAAAAACAACACAAGCATAATCAAAGATGCTCAAGTTGATACGGCTGTCGACTACGCAGAGGGTGGAACAAGCGTGGCACAGGAGAAAGGTACATGTGGTTTCAGAATTTAATTTGTAGTAGATTCTCCTTTTGCAATTGTGGCCCTGTTGAAACCACGGGAAATCTAGAGCAAATGTAGTTTAAGCATTCGCGGACGTAGGAGACGTTCTAGTTGTTATACACAAAAGTTTCTAATGCAGCTTCGATCAACTGGGGCCCAAAACGAAAAAAACAAATCCTTGCTGACTAGTCACCTATACACGACTTGATTACTATTAATGAGGGGATAACGCCTTATCGAGAGATTACGAGGTTCATCTTGCGTTGGTCTGACTATCACACACATTGATAACACAGGCAAAATCACAGAGTAGAGAGTTGTAAAAGAAAAGGAGATATTCAACAGTCACCACCGAATAGAATAGAATGTACCACGTACGTCCCAAGTCGACAGATCAATATCTATCAGAAAACTGCGATCTCTTGAGATAGAAGAAACAGTAATCGTTGCGGATTAATAAATAGAAGCACACGAATTGAGAATCTGGCTCTATTAAGAACCACAGTTCTATTCACACACAAAATATTGCACACCGAGAAGGCAAGAACTCCACCAAAACACTGCTGCGACCAAGCTATCTCACAAGTTCGCGTAGAACCTAATGGAAGCAGACAATACGTTAAATATCTTGGGAGTCGGAAAAACAATGGAACCATATCCGCACAAAATGAGCACTGCAAAAAAGTAAAAACGAAGCTGAAAAACAAAATCCAAACAAACGAAGCTAAGACCTAAAGGGAATTCCTTGCGAAGGTCTAAGAAAGCCTTTGGAGGAAATCTTTTAAGATGACCAGAAAAAAAGCTTTAGACAAAGGAAGTCTTCTACTCCACTGGGAGAGTGGCAAGAAAGACCTTATTGCCCTTCTCTTTACCCACCCACATTAACACCTGGTAAACCCATAAGGTCAAGAAAGTCTCCTAAGACGGTCCCGCCGATAGCGGTCTATCTATAAAAGGTACCCAAGACTTGTTGCAAAATTAGCATACAAGATACCTCTCGACAGATCTGTTTTGTAAATAGGGAAGAAGAGAAAGGTGGCTTTTTTTTTTCCAAAAAGAACAGTTTATTTTGCTATCTGTTTGCTAGGTATTTTAGGTGAGGGTTTTGAGGCACTTCTTGACACAGGACTGCGAGATATCGCGAAAGACTCTGTCTATAAAGAAGCAGTAGGATTTCTGAAAGCAAAGATGAATTCTCTCGGTTATTGCCAATGTTTTGAACGACTTCGGATGACCAAAGTGCGTTCAAAAGAGCTCTCCCATGGGGTCATGATGATTCACATGACGATTTTTGATACAATAATTAAATAGAACATTACACGATATTCAAAAGGTACAATCTTCAACTACAGTCACCAATAAAAGCTCCGCGATCGACACGAAAGCAGGGGTTCTTTACAGGGTATACTCAAGCTTCCTGTTCGGAATATCGACTATGATGCGGTTCCTTGACCTGATGATTTGGAAGTGTAGCTTCTGGCTAATGCTAAAGACATGGCAGTCACAGTTTTTTGGAAAAAATAGAGGAACACAAGCACTTGTGGAAATAACAACATCGCCTAGGGAACTAAGACGAAAACCAGCACCGATCAATGTAGCACTAGGCTATGGAAGGTTAAGGAGGGGAATCATCATTTTACCTAACATAGTTCCGTACAAGACACAAACTTTTTCAGAACTATTTAGTTCTGACAGGAAAGGATTCATGAAGCTTACCTCTGCGTACCATGCTTTCATGTTCCAAGGATACCACTCATCACACTTTCGTCCGCTCCTCTGCGCCGAGACACACGAGAAACGACCACACCAACCCTGATTTGGTTGCTGCTGCTATAGATGGAATTCAAGACCATATAGGAAACATATTTGGTCAGACATTCATATGTCGGTCCAAACAGACCTTGAATGAAGAAAATAGGCCCGCCATGGTGCTCACTGTGAAAAAAAGAGGTTTCTCAAAGGTAGGTTCGCTATTTTGGGGCTGACAGACGACGCGCATAAAATAGGCTTGCAGGACGGGTGATGAAGTGGCAAGTTTCTCCGCCTGGGAAACGGCTTGTGGAAGCAGAACCGACATGTCTCGGCAGAAATAGACACTCGGCAGAATAATGGCGTTTGTATTGAATGGCGGTTGAATTGAGATTCAATGGATTAGTGATCTTGGCGTAGTGAATGAAGTACACTTATCGAGACCGAGCTCCACAAACATCAGCCCATGTTAGACAGACATTGCTTTCTCGGGCTCGATTATGTGTAAATAGCATTACCTGAACCCTCTTATAAAAAATGATATAAATAAAAAGATCAGGAGTCCTTTACCAAAACTAAATCGAAGCTACTGTCCAGAAATCGAAAATGGGGGTTTTTTTATAAAAAAATTTGGCAGATAAAAAGAGAAGATAAAATACATTTTTGAGGGGTTAGTGGAAACGGTCGAAAAAATGCCCAATATTTTCAGGTCGTTAGGAAACACGAATTGTACTGAACGGCTTTAGTAAAATTGAATTTTTCATTCGTTCACAATATTTGTTGAAAAAACTGGACAAGTTGTGACATTGTAGTAAAAATAACGCAGTAACTGATGGCGGTTATATGTTTTGTTAAGTAAAAAGAGACTTGATATATATGAATTGCGTCTAGGTTGCAAACATAAAATATTAAAAATGAAAATTAATATGATAACATCTTAGATCTACCAAGAAATAAGGAATCTTTTTTATTAATTAGTACTATTATTAATAGTATAATCTTTATTATTATTACTATTATAGTTCATGATAAAAATAAAGAAAACATTATTTGTGTATTTTTGTAAAATTTATTCAATGCCATTTACAGCAGTTCGTACATTAAGTATGCATTGTTATGTTTGGCGTTTTCTATATTTTTTTTAATGGAGAACAGCCTAATTTCTGAGGTTCAGCTGGTCTGTTCTTATTTTGCCATGCCGTTCTGGAGCAGAGCGGCATAGGTGAAGCACATAAATACAATGCGGCTACGTGTACCGTAGCGGGTATATAGCCCGCAGGAGACGCTTTCCGCATACATACTCTAGTTGTCAACTACTCACTCGTGATTCGGATATACATTGGTAATGATGTTGTGATCACGTCACAGATGACCATTCAAGTGATTGCATTTTGTTTTGTAGTGTAGACTTACCAGCCTTGGTTTTGATTCTGGTCCCAACCTTGGTTTCCGCCCTGATTTTCCCACCCTTGTGATTTCTGGTTTCCGCCCTGATTTTCCCACCCTTGTGATTTCTGGTTACCGCCCTGACTCCACCCCCCCTGGGTATTGCTGCCTTGAGTCCATCCACCTTGATTTCCTCCATGGCCACCTGCCTGGCTTCCGGCCTGAGCCCATCCCCCTTGATTAGTACCACTATTACTACCACCTTGGCTCCATCCACTCTGATTTCCGCCCTGAGTCCATTCAGCTTGACTTCCTCCAGAATTGTCCCAACCTTGGTTTCCTTGTTTTTGGGAACCAGCCGCGCTCCAACCAGCTTGGTTGCTGCCCTGGTTGTCCCAGCTTCTCTGATTTCCTCCTTGGTTCCATCCCTCACTACCGCCACCTTTGCTGTGATCGCCACCTGACACAAAGAGCATGATCAATGTATTCCTTTGATATGTACCTACTAGCGCTCCAAACTTTAACTAAAACGAAAATAATACTCTAAATTGTAACAAAATAGAATTAGCTTCGTAAATCTCACAATACGCAGGTTCTTACCTCCATAGGACTTGGCTGGAGCAACGTGATGAATTGTTCCAGAGTAACTTGACGTTTCTACCTGTTTACCACCACCGTACGATCCTCCGTGAATCATGGCACCAAGGTTTCCGTGGTTTCCTCTATAGCTCCCCCCATGACCTCCTTGATGACCTTGTCCAAAGCTTTTCCCCGCAGAGCCTTGGTAAGCGCCTTTTCCCTGGTAGGAGTCAGACCATCCTCCTTGGTTTCCAGCTTGGCTCTTCTGAGGGGCAGCAGACCATCCGCCTTGGTTCCCGCCGAAGTTCTTTTGAGGCGAATTGGACCATCCTCCCTGGTTTCCGCCGAAGCTCTTCTGAGAACCATCGGACCATCCATCCTGATTCCTTCCGAAATTCTTCTGGGGCTCAGCCGACCATACCCCTTGGTTTCCGCCAACGTTCTTCTGGCCTCCAGAGGGCCAGCCTCCCCGGTTACCTCCAAAGTTCTTCTGACCTCCAGAGGGCCAGCCCCCCTGGTTACCGCCGAAGCTCTTCTGACCTCCAGAAGGCCAGCCTCCTTGGTTACCTCCAGAGATTTTTTGTTGGGCTGGGGACCACCCACCTTGGTTGCCTCCAAAGTTCTTATGTGGTGGAGCTGGAAAACGCCCGCCTTGGTTTCCTCCAAAGCCTTTTTGGCCACCAGAAGGCCAGCCATCTTGATCTCCACTGAAGCTTTTTTGACCTGCGGAGGGCCAGCCGCCTTGGTTTCCGCCAAAGCTCTTCGGAGAAGCTGCCGGCCATGAACCCTGGTTTCCGCCGAAACCTTTCTGACCTCCGGAAGGCCAGCCGCCTTGATTTCCGCCAAAGCTCTTCGGAGAAGCTGCTGGCCATCCACCCTGGTTTCCGCCGAAGCTCTTTTGACCACCAGCAGGCCATTCTCCCTGATTTCCTCCAAAGCTCTTTTGAGGAGCAGGGGACCAGCCTCCTTGGTTGCCGCCGAAGTTCTTTTGCGGAGCAGCAGGCCATCCATTTTGGTTTCCGCCGGAACTCTTCGGACCTCCAGAGGGCCAGCCTCCCTGGTTACCTCCGAAGTTCTTCTGCCCCCCAGACGGCCATCCACCCTGATTTCCTCCGAAGCTTTTTTGACCTCCAGAAGGCCACCCTCCCTGGTTTCCTCCGAAGTTCTTCTGACCACCAGAGGGCCAGCCTCCCTGATTACCACCGAAGTTTTTTTCTGGAGCGGCAGACCATCCACCTTGGTTTCCTCCCAGATTCTTCTGGCCTCCAGAGGGCCAGCCTTCCTGGTTTCCTCCGAAGCCCTTTTGACCCCCAGAAGGCCAGCCTCCTTGATTTCCTCCTGAGTTCTTTTGTCCACCAGATGGCCATCCTCCCTGGTTTCCTCCGAAGCCTTTCTGCCCGCCAGAAGGCCAACTTGCCTGGTTACCGCCGAAGTCTCTTTGTGGACCATCAGACCATCCTTTCTGGTTTCCCCCGAAACCCTTTTGTCCCCCAGAAGGCCAACCTCCCTGGTTTCCTCCAAAGCTTTTTTGAGGTGCTGCTGACCACCCACCCTGATTTCCTCCAAAGCCTTTCTGAGGAGCTGCATCCGACCACCCATTTTGGTTGCCACCGAAATTCCTTTGTGGAGCATCTATCCACCCGCCCTGATTTGCTCCCAAGTTCTTTTGGGGACCCGGGGACCAGCTTCCTTGATTTCCATTGAAGCCGCCACCATGAATCATTGCTCCCGCACCAAATCCTGAATCTCCGGGACCGTAAGCATTCTTTGCACGTTTCACTGATTGTCCGTTATCCGACCATCCCCCTTGATTACCTAGAAAAGTATAAACCGTCAAGCGAATTTTTGACCTGGCCGGAAACATGACATTTCCATAAGAGGAAAACCTCAATGCAAGTTTCCTAACATACCGGAAAACTGCTGCCAGCCTTGGTCTGAAGGACCATCGTTCCAACCAGATGTACTCCTAGTGTCCGACCAGCCTAATAGAAAATTAGTGTAACAGGAATTTTGATTAGTTTAGCGCATCTATCACAACAATTAAGGATGCAAGTTTTTGTTTGTTAATATTTGGTCAATTAATGTATCTGTGCGATTGCAGCCATCACTCATATTATGTAGGATGCTAATGATGTTACTGTTTAAGAACGGCTAGTAAAGTTTTACAGTTAAAATAAGTTCAGTTGTGACTAGTCCATTCGTATTTATTAGAACACTGTTAAAGATGTTAGATGACGTACCCTTGTTAGTAGGGGCATCATCCCAGCCACCTGAGGGGTTATTACTCTGAGGGTTAGCCCAGCCACTTTGGTTATTATCCCAACTGCCCTGGTTACCCTTATCGACTGGCCAAATGCTGGTCTTCTTATTGTAGTACGTTGTCTTGGCTACACCCTGACCCCCGCCTCCTCTTCCTACACCTCCTCCACCTTGGCTCCAGCCCCCCTGGCTGCCGCCCCCGCCGCCGCCCTGGTCCCATCCACCTTGTTGAGTGCTTTGCGCATTATCCCATCCACCGCCTAAAGGGACAAAATTTGGCAATTTAATAAACCAAGCAGACAAAATAGACTTTATTGAAATGATACAATGAGAAGCAAGTTGTAATTTTGGAAAAAGCAAACTCATAGTTAAAGCGATCAGTCCAAGTAGTGTTCATTTGTGCTCCAAGCGTAGGTTTACTTTGTTCCAGTACTTACCAATGGATACGACTTAAATATTAAAGCGGCTTCCAATACTATACCATACAATGATAGTAATAACAATTATGCGTCACTAGTGGGGCTTTCATATTCTATAAGACTAATAGGCAATTTATTATATTCTTCTTCAAGTATTGCTTATCCTTCATAAACTACTTTATTATTACCATTGGACAAATAAAGCTGAGCACTATTTCCATTTTCAATGCATTTCTAAACGGGAGTAATATAGTTAAGGCGTTGGATGTTTGAATCACGGAAAGCCAATGATTATTACAAACAGAACTTGTAAAAAAAATGATTCGGTCGATTATGTATTCGACATAAACTCGGTGCGAGTATTCAGTAGGAATCGCTCACCAGATTGTTGCCCTTGTCCTTCATACCAGCCGTCCTGAGTTTCGGCGACTGTGAGATCGGTCTTTTTTTCAGTGTCCTTCCTCTCCACTAAGGCTGTATCAGGCTGTTTTGCGCTTTTCTTCTCCTCCCTGGCGGACACTCCATCTGCTAACACTGACACTACCAAAAAACAGGCGACTGCCTAAAGTTCGCAAGCAGGCCACAAAACAACAACAGCAGCAGTAATAATTGTGGTCAGTTTATACCCTTAGCTCACATAAAGTTTAACTAATTAGGTAGCAGCAACAGCGACAATGGTTCTGAAACGTAATCAAGTAATCCCAGCCGATAGACGGAAGCGAACCAGACAGCCTGATGCGACTCGTTAATTATCTGTAACCTCGATCCTTCCCTTTCTCTAGTTCGGCTATGGCCTCCGTCTTTACAATCGTCACTGCTTTAATTCGCTCCGACCCTCTTACTGTTCCTACGACTGCCGTTTTTGATTTCAGAAACAAACAAATTTTATTTAAGTCCTCCCATGGTCAAAACGTATATTCAAGCGATTCCATTATTAACCTATTCAACGAATGAGCGATGAGTGACAGACGCGACCATTGACAAAAGCACGGGTGTGTCTAATGCTGCCTTTACGTACGTACGTACGTAAGCACAAATCATAATCCGCCCGCGCACACAGACGCAACCGCCTTGTGATATATATATATATATGTGCCTGTGTGTGTAACGCGTGCAAAATACGTAGCTACTATCGCGCCAGAGCCCATCACCCATAGCGTAAACGACCTTGCGGTTCCTCATGATCTGGGCAATCGTAGCAGAGAGTAGCGACACCATCACTATAGAAACGCTGCGACGTCTACAATAGGACAAAGTGACTAGAAACACCCATTGATAAACAGGATTACAAACTGTATGAATAATGACAATGATATTATACCGACTACAACAATAAAAATGCTAATCAATTGCCGTGTCCATGCCTCTAGGCTATGACCTTATATCTCCTAATATTTTTAGTGGTTTCGCTGGAACCGCCATTGCTGTTGTTAACGTTCTAATTATTCAATTGAATTCGTTAGTGAGTAAGTGATGACACACTTACTGCTAATATAAGCGTAGACGTCATTGTAAGCACGTAAAACAATAGCGTTCTCTGCTTTTGACGTGGACTTCGATAGGCTAGTTGGTAAGCGGTAAGGCGCGTCCCCACCGAGCGGGAACGCGCTTTCGCTCGTTCAGACGTTTTAAAGTACTCTTATAGCGCGTTCGGTGATGAGCCAACTCGGCGTTGGTAAAGCACGAAGCATTTTTTTACTTAATTAATCGCCTTATATGTCACCTACAAAGTTGCCGTATGGGATGATACTACCATGATCATTCCTAGTTATTACAAGGGTGATTATTATAACTAGCTTTTACTGGCATTAGCATGACAACCTAAAGGAAACATGTCAAGATAAAGGAGAATGTCGGTAAGCGAATAAATAAGAAAGAAAGTAGCACGTTCTTTTCGACACAACCTGAATAGCTGTTGTACAAACCACACGTCCTACTGGTTGGTCAGACAGGCCTTTTGTCTAGAAGAAGATACGTGCAAAGGCCGTTTGACTACAGAAGCTGTCATATAATGCCAACACTAAATCCAACTGCTTTTCTTTGTTTTCCGACTGCTCCTCGCCTTTGACATCGTTTGGGCTTCACCGCCTTTTAGACAGCTGCTTAACCGCACGTCGACTTCAGCTACATACAGACAGGATCAGGAACAAGAACGGCAGCGACAACGGCGACAGATCACTGTGCATGAAGCCCGTGGTCCAAATGAACCAGACAAACCTCTGGCGGTCGAGCTCAGATCGCTGCCGACGCCATCATCGCCACTAGCGCTGTCTTTCAAAATACTGACGTTACCTTTTGGTCTTCTCACGAGTTTAAGCCGAGTTGCTTGTTCAATGGACGCTCGTGCCGGTTCACGCACGAATCCTTGAACGTGTGTTCACACAACAGTATACTAATCTAACATGCATACATGTATATACACATACAAGTACTCATACACATCCACTGTAAATGACACTAGTTCGTTTGAGCGAAACTACCATGTACAATAATGATTCGCGCTCGCTCTCAGTGTGTAGCAATATCAACATTGCCGATAACGTTAGTCACAGCTCCTGCTGCTGCAATAGGATCGTGAGATGACACCCCCTACAAACAATTTATTTCGCTAGAAGAACATGGCGTTTGCTTTGTCGAACTTGGTGCAATTTTGCGACACAACGGGTGAACGCGGGGGGGGGGGGTAAAAGCCCCCCTATTCTTTCCTCCGGTGTGCATGTCTGCTGCTATTTCTGCTGTTATCTCATAACAGTTTTGTGTACATAGAGCCGTAAACAGATACGCGCTAACCGCAGGCGCACTGACCGAAGAATAGATAAAAGAATAAACGTCCATATGCCATCAGTTCTTCTAATGCAAAATAAACAGTAAAAGAAGTCGATAAACCCCGATCTATTAGCAAACTCCTGCTTGAACAGCTAATCATTGACTAACTCGTATAGCCATAAAGTCGCAGTTCTCACTTGTATTGATATGATTGTTTCGGACTTCTGTTATCTACTTTTAAAAAGATGTTATTACAACGATTCGCAATAAAATTTACCTATGTAGATGTTTTAACTTCGTCGAAACTTGGCATTGTGACATAATCAAGTTTGATTCTAACATAATAATGATTGTATTCAACAACGTAACGTTGAACAGTAGCTCCGCAACCTGTCATAGAAGAAAGACAGTGAAGAGCTAATATGCTGTAGGTAGAAGAAACGTTTGATAGAACGTTACGACGTAACTGTTCAAAAGAGCTATCAACAGAGTACAATATAGCTTAGATACTTTCCTAAGTCTGAGTACGCAATCTGATTGATAGGATTTTTTCAAGGGTAAAACGGAACGCGTTTGCACGAACCGTACGTAATTTGAATGTTTCATAGTTGACGCACGTTCAGCTAACTTACGAATTGATTATCTTATAGTAAAATAATACTACAACTCTGCAGAGCTGAAATATCGTTGAAACACAACGACCGTGTCATTGCACGTGAGCAACTGTGGTACGTACTATCGTATCGTATGAAAAATCAGCGTTTAAAGTTTATAAATGAACCACTGGTGAAATGATATTGTTCTAAGGTTGCGTAAAGCGCATGACAGCTTTAATCTAACGAATCATAATATTTGGCTAGTAGGATCTTTCACCTCGCTGGCAAATTTCCCGGGCACCTGTCGCTGAAACATCGGTTACGATATTTTTAACTTACGCAAGTTTTGATTTCTTTACCAAGCTGAGCTCCTGACCACATGGTCGTACTGGGCAGAAGTACGTTAAGAGGGTACCCTTTCACCAAAAACCGTTGGACTGTGTGACAGCTGCTGAACCAAATACAGATACATTACGTGTCATAGTATTGTTCGCTGATGTAATGAATAATCATGGTAAGGACACACAGTTATTTCTAGTTATTTGGTTAGGGAAAAGTTCGCATCAGAACTGTCGTCAGACTTATCTATGTATAGTACTCCGAAATAATCTCTAAAACCTAATCCCGACTATTGAAGAGGAGAACAGCTTTTTTCAATGACATCTGAATGAGCCCTTGTGTGTCTTGCTAGGGAAGAAGGGACAGGACTGTGATAAAGATACTCAGTGAAAAACGACAGTCAGAGTTCGAAACAGAAGTAATGAAAATGTGGCATTCTAGTTTCTTGTTTCTAGCAAAACTGGATAAACTGGAACGGTGGCAGCTTAATTGATTGATCTGTAGCTTTGCAGTCGGGTTACGAATACTACTAGTTATGAGTCTCGATTGCACTCTATAAGGAAGCGTAAGGTAATCCACTTTTAAACGTTTCACTATGGAAGATTCAGACGTCGGGGAAGTACTTTAACTTCATTTGCACTCGATTAAAAGGTCTGCCTAGCGCCATCTTTGCCATTGCCCAAAGGTAGGTAGGTAGGTCTGAAATTAATTTCTATGCAGAATTATAGATATCTAAATCCAGCATGGGAAAAAAGATCGATATTTCTTATCAGGTTACACCTCATTTGATTGCGGATTGACTTTATACTGCGTGGGCATAGTTACCAAAGTATTAACACATTATACAGAGATCGATGCCCTTGGCAAATCAAAACTTAAGCGCGCAATGACAGCGTCATTATAAAGAATCCGATTAACACACGAAGTTCTAATAAGGCACTTCTATGCACACATCACTTCTGCTCCCTTCCTCGAAGTCATCACGTTAGTAGTAGTAGTAGTAGCAGTAGTAGTAGTAGTAGTAGCAGCAGCAGCAGCAGCAGCAGTAGCCGCAGCCGTGATAACAGCATCAAACAGGAAATCAACAAACACAGTACCGCAGTTTTTTTTCTGTTTTTGGGTTTCCACCTAACGAAAACCTGACTTACTTCTTGTCGTCAATCAGCTCAAAGAAATGACGATGGGGTAACGGTGAAACATTGTAACAATTCGCGTATCCTTCCATACCTGTCCTAAGAAGAATTTCATGACGTGAAGTCTGCGTCGCGATCCTGCTCGAATAGTTTTCAGTGTGTTAGACCGGTTGGCGAGTTCACTGAGTCCACTCGGTCAACAACGGTGACGAGTCTATGATGGTAACGCAGAGTGAGTTCACTGAGGTAGGTAGTGAGGTACTTAATCCTGACGTGCGACGTCGAGTCGTCGACGGATGATGCGCGTCAGTCTTTGCCCCTGCTGTTTTATACGATGCGCTGACCCGCGCAGCCAGCGCATCGTTATAGTTAGTGAGTGTTGCCCCTCACCCGTTGCACGAAGGCAACGGCACCGGCCATCCATCAGCATGGTCAAGTTCAATCCGCGCCAAGCTGAAGCGTTAGCGGCCCTATTCTTTCGTTGTGCTTACTCGCTGCTAGTGTTGTTATCTGTGCCCCCACCGCAACGTCTGCCTGCCTTGTCTACTACGATTACCTCCATTCCCTTAGCCATGGATGCAAAGAACGAGCGGTGAAGCGAGCAGAAGTTGAACAAACACTAATAGAGAGATCCTGTCAGAATCGTCCTCTTCCGGAGACACATAGAACCTGGGCGTCATAACATAACGCCAAAATATACATATAATTACCTGAGTGGGTGACTAGCTTTGTCTGAGGCACATAACTGTTAAATAAAATGCTCCCCGTTCCTGTACAGGTTGTCTCCTCGACTATAGGCTTCGCAAGGTTCAGGTAAACGTGCGGTCGAAAGAGTTCAAGCCGACAAAGACTGATATTAAAAAATATCAGGATTTTGTTCATTTAATAGATGTAAATTTCACATTATCCGATATCTAGCATCTCTAATTATGCTGTTGTTCGTACTCAAAACAGGCATGTTTGCTTTAGTAGCGCAATATAAAATCATAAAAATGTAGATAACAAGGATTCGCTTTTTCCTCCAATCTCCGGTCCCTCAACGGTTACGCATGATGTTGAAAAAATATTCAAGGTTGTTCCACTGCTTTGGCGTCATTAATGCCCCTTCGCCCACAATTGGCTAAAATCGATGAATGTATTGTTTCTTCACGTTGTGACGCTCAAAACAGCTCGCATGCCGTTTGTTTTTTAGAGGGCCTTACCTTCACAGGACAGATTCGCAAACCGCAAGAAAAGACATCTTAGGCTTTGAGAATGAACTAGCAGCTGTTTTGAAAACTAGCGAAGGTACACTTGGCCTGTCCATAAATATGTCTAAAACAGAACGTGTCCTTTTTGCTCAATATATCAAACAGCTGTGCCAACCTTGATGGGACAGTCGTTCAATTAGGCTCATCCGCAAGGAGTCCCGCTTTGACATTTGGACAAAGATTGAACTAAGCATCGCATTTCCTTTAATTGCACCCAAAATGCTATGTTCACATTCTGTGCTATCTAGTCTTCGAAGGTGTGCTTCTGTGCTACCTTCACAGATCCCTTTCTAAAAAGATAATTATGCGTGCTATTGTGGTTAGGCGTGAAACATTCCGTCAGCATTTAAATAGGCTATAAACGGTCCAGCGTGATTCTGCCTGGACCATCTTCAGACTATCAAGGTTCGCTCGTGCATCAAGCTCTTTTGATAAGCACGGCATTCTTATTGCCTATTGAGCCTCCTGTATCATGCACAGACCAGCGTATGCATCCGCCACGAATCAAGCTCCACCACCATCAGCCTTCTGAATATTTATTGTAGGAATAACGATAAACGTGAACGCAGAGACTACCTAGAAGTTCTCCAAGCAGAAACATAAATTGAACTCCTTACCATGCTATAACCACGGCGCTGAAATCCAAATATGTCTAAAGTTAGTAAACTACTTAATTAATTAAGCATCATATGCAGTAATTTGGTGTTCTGTTGTTGTTATATGCTAGCTATGCTATATGGGACTGCGGGGGGATTTTTGGTCGACCTCAGGGAACCCCATTCTTAGTCTAAAGTAAAAGAATCGGAAGAACTATAGCAGATGATATCAACAGTACTAGCAACAGACTCTAAAAGAGTACAAAGAAGCGGAAGGCAAAATAAAAATGGTCAAGTTTAAAAATTCGGGCTATGCTTTTAATGTGCATATAGATGGTAAGTTTTTAGCAGGTGTAACATAACCTAGGCGAACATTCAATGAAAATTAGGATAACTAGAATTGACAGTATGACCGACTGTTTTATGAATGCCTCGTCATTTACTACACATCTTACGTATGTAACGAAAGGGAGATTTTCGTCTGTACTACGTTTCTATGATATCTCTAATAACCATGGCCTCCTATTTTGTTTTACGGTACAACAAATCATGTGCCATCAGAAACTATATTAATCAATAGGTTTTTTAAAAACTTTTCGGTATACCGGCTTGTAATAAACAGTTCTTCAGCAAAATTATCTCCCATGATTATATATCATATTCGCACGTAAATATTAGCTAACAAAATCAAATTCCGGCTTACTTCGCAAGTTGATGATATGTACATCTTTTAGGAAGAGAAAATTACAAGTTCTTCCAAAATGGCTTTATAGAAATGTTAAAACCTCGCTGTTTTCTGGAGATCGCAAATCGAATAAACAAGATGCTTCAACAGGAAGTATTGTGATAGCCGAGATTGCATCCTAAATTCTTATTGCTACATAAAGACAGTGTTATTTTTGACGGTTAACCAATGTAATCACATAAACTCCTATATCCATAATAAATTCAAGTTATTTCTCAGCATGCCAACACCCCTACTGCTATAGGGGAAAGGTCACAGAAACGATATAACTATAAGAGATGTTCATTTCAGGAACATGGGGGCAAAGATGCGCTTTCGTAGTCTTGTTATATATTTGCTAAATCGTCTGGATGCCATTTACAAATTGAAAAAAATATGTCGAGGTAATTTACGAAAAAAAACACTCCAGAAGCTGTAAAAAGACGGCAAGCGTAAGTGAGGACGCGGGTTTTAGTGCGAGAGGGCCTAAATTAATTTCGACACCTACCGTTACCGGAGAAATTACGAAAGCGACAGTAGTTTAATTCAACGTTCTGCATCTGTATGCTTCCTGAATGAACAGGATTAACGTATCAAGGGTTGGTAACGCGCCTTTTTTCAAAATGTAGGTTCAGATCCCCAGATGCTTGGTGGTCTCCTTTCGAAAAAGTTGTCTAGTGATTTGCTTAACGCTTGCGCTGCTGTTATCATTAGACGTTCGTTCACAAAAACAGCGTAAGTATGAGGAACAATACTTAGGTGTAAATCCCTATAAGGATTGTGGTTACCCAAAACATCTTTGTCTACAGCAGTAGTAGTATAACGTAATGTTGTGAAAGTTATTTTGTTTCTGACTTCACCATTTAAGAGACTTCACACGTTTTGAAGTGCGATGCGAGTCATTGCACCATTGGTATTTCGCCAACTTATGTTTACGTAGACCACACACTAACGCTTGAGTAATAGATTGTCAATGAATCTGCATTCTATTACAAACTGCTCATTTTTTCCTTATTGCATAGCGACCCTTCAGTTCATTCTGTATATAGGAGTGCAAGAGTATAGCCGCGATAGTCAATCTTCAGTGGACTAATTTGGGTTGTTTTCTGTGTTCGCTTGTAAGCTTTAAAGCATAGTAGTATCAGTGAAAGGTTCATTTATGTATCTATACTATTCGACATGTGCGTTACGTGGCTTCATTAAGAAGCTTGGGTATTTTTGGTCGGCTTAAATTGGCCCCACTGCCCATTAAGCAGTATCTTAGATAAAGCATCATATAAGTTGTAAAAGTGTGATAGTTGGGTTTCATGACCGCCTCTCGCTCTTATCGTTTTTTTTTTAAAAAGGAACGTTGATTTTGGAAATAAACGCCATCAAACTCCAGTATTCTTGAAACGTATCTGGGTCTGTCATCGGGCGTAATTCAAATTGCAGAATGACAAAAGACGAAGTTATTCGGGCTAATTAAGTATTCTTTACATTTCACTGAATATTAGTTAGAAAAACAAAATACCAAGCAAAAAAACAAACATTGTTTTCTTTTGCCACAGTTTCGCGTCGGTCAGAGCAATACAATAATATATTTAATAAGTAATACCATAGTGCAATATCTTGTAATACAGACTGAAAGCAGACTTGTACGCAGATCTGTACGACAATTTATATTATGTGATCTTGTTAGAGGCTCGGATACAATAGTGTTTTACGAGCCAGCGTATTTTTTTTTGACAAAATGTCGATAAAATTATCTTGCATTAGGGCATAATTCAGTCCAGTGCGTATTTTTTTAAGATCCATAGTCTTCTGAATCTCTGGAACGTACAGAATCCCCTTAATCAGTGGACTGGCATGATGGTGTGCGAAAGATGGTAAACTATTTCCCAATCAAAAATTTCAACCACAATGTGTAGTTTCCAACTGTATCTTAATTTATACTCGGGAACTTGGCATACGATAATCAGTCTTGATCATCACATACACCGATAAATCATGCACGGTACCCGTAAATACAATCGCCCGGGGTAAAAAATAATGACGCACATATATTCGTTTGTATAAAACCACTGTTTGATCTAAATTTCTCCTCAGTGAATGAAAACGATGTGCGAAAATAATTTTTAAAACCGATGCGTTAGAAATGGCACGAAATTGATCTACTTCCTCTATTATCGCTTTTAGTGAAGCAAGATATTTGCGCTCTTACCTAGTTGTGCAAAGTAAATCTCATTTATCATTATATTGAATTCAAAGCTAGCACTATTCGTAGCGTCCCTGAACCCATGCACGGTTTGAGACTGTCAATAATACCTGCCATGTTCATGGAACCAGCGAATTAGCGATGTTAATTTACAGAGAAGTTTAAAAAAATAAGTGGCCTTAAAATACAAGCATGCAGGTTGGTAGGAACTTGCGAGGTATGTCAAGTAAAACTTAGGCACCGCATTTCCGCACTCGTTGTCAACGTGTGACGCGTGGTCACTTTCTGGAAGAAAATTTTGACAACTTTATTAACCTGACGCATCATTTGGACAAAATAATACTGTTAACATATGCGCCATATATTATACGTATACACACAATCATGACTCACAATGTACCATGAGTAATTATTTATACTATAATCGTACATAATCACGATGGTTACACAAGCTTCAATATGGTTAAGTGGGCTTTGAAGCATATTTCCAGTGTTTTTCTTTACTTTTTGACGGAT